AGACAGGCGGGAAGGAGAGGGAAGAGGCGGCGACGAGGATACAGGCAGCGTTCCGCGGGCACCACGCCAGGAAAAGTATGAAAGAGACTGATTCCTCTGCGAAGCAGACGGGGACCAAATCCGGCGCGCAGCCGACCAAGGAACAGCTGCAGGAGCAGTTCCGCGCCGACGACAAGGGTGAGTGTGTTGTGAGTGGATTAGTGGAATTCGGAGGGAGTTGATTGTGGAGGGATATTTGAATTGTTTGTCGTAGAGGTGACTATGAGGTAGGGTTTGATTTGGTATAGGAAATTTTGCATATTGTAAAGTTTCGAATAATAATGGAGAATTTTTAATAACAGTATTTTAATATTTTTTTAATATTTTAATATTTTTATATTTTTTTAATAATAATATTTATATATACACTACACTATCATACACTAATTCTTACCACTCAAACAGTTAACAATCTAACTAAATTAATAATAATATACGACAAACTCAGTAACTCCAAATAATAAATAATTAACAATTTCACCTCCACTTCTTTATTGCAAAAGAATAATTCCATATAAAACATTTTCATGGTGGTGTTTTATCAAATAGTAACAATTAAATGTCAAATAGTAACAATTTCATATCAATTAAAATTAGTAACAATTAACAATTTCACCTCCTCTTCTTCATCGCAAAAAATAATTCCACAGAAAACATTATCAGTGTTTAACATGTTAAATGCAAAAATTAAATATCAAATAATTACTGACAATTAAATATCAAATAATTAATGCTTACCTCTAAAATACAATTCTTCTCGAGCAATAATAAATAATTAAGAATATCACCTTTTTTCATTTATGCCAAGGAATAATTCCCTAGAAAATATTTAATATACTAAACAATTAATACCGATCTCCAGAGTCCAATTCCTATACGCAGTTCCTAACTTCAAAGCACAACGACTGCAATCGGCCAATTGCGATTCGACTCGAACGTGTGCGTCGGTTTATGTCCCGCGCGGAATTAAATGCCTAACATTGTTTCTCGGTGTTCAATTGCTGGATTGTGTTTTTGTTGTTTGTTTGTGTGGTGAGGTGAATATGCTAATAATAAAAAATTAATATAATTAAATATATAATATAATATAAATATTATTAATATAAAGAATATAAATATTATAAATGTTATGTTAAAGAATTTATTGTTGTATTAAATATTTAGGTTAGAATACTAATTCCTTGGTAATGAATATTTTTAATTAAAATAATAATCATTAAAAAAAATAATAGAATGTGAGGCTGTAAATATTTTTGTATAAATATTATTGTAAATATTACAAATTTTATAGTGAGGAATTTATTGTTGTATTAAATATTTAGGTTAGGTTAGAATAAACACTAATTCGTTATATATTATAATAAATATTTATATAATATTTCGATTCCAAGAATTTTAACATTACCTTCTAAAATGTAGTGTTAATGAATTGCTGGGATTGTGCTGATTGAAATGAGTCCAAACATCTCAACAGTCCAATGACACTATGTTTGCGAAGGTAAGGATAAACATGCAGTCAAGTAAATTTCAATTCCAGTAATTTTAAACTTACATTCTCAAATATAGTGCCATTGAATTACTAGGATTGTGCTGATTGAAACGAGTCCAAACACGATGGGAATCGGACTACTTTTACCAACTTCCTGTATTCAGCGAGACTAAAGGCTCGTTTCCATGAAACCATAAAACTAGTCCGATTCCCATCGTGTTTGGACTCAATTTAATCGGAACAGTCTCAGTAATACATCGGTATTATGATTGAGAGGTTAAGGTTAAACATGCAATGAAGAACATTTCAGTTGCAGTAACTTGAACCTTACCTTTTCAAATGTAGTGTTCGTGAATCTGAATCTATAAAAATCTAAATCTATAAATATCTAAATAAATAAAAAATCTAAGTCTACAGAATATCTAAATTACAAAATATCTAAATATAAATAAATAAATCTAAATTTCTAAATATCCAAATATAAATAAATTAAAGTAAATATCCAAATATAACCTCACTTAATTTTCAATTTAACACACAACCATCATTTCAAACCCCAAACTCTCACCCCACACTGTACCCAACCAAAACCGAATCCCCCACCCCGTCCCATAGTTCCCAAACCGCCCGGAAAAGACGGCGTTCCGCGCAGCCCGCAAACGAGACGCGTCATAAACTCGGCACTTTCTTCCCGTCCGGCAGTTTTCTCGCCGGTGGCTCCCCCGGGCCACGGGAGAGTCCCTCGTAGATTGTTACCGTCTCGGAATTCCTAGCCGAGCTCGCGGGATTCCCGCGGAAATTGCTCGCGATTTCCTCGGCTGGCTCCGTGACCCGGATTCCCGTCCCTCTCGCGTCCGACCTCGAGCGAGCGACGCTTATGTAGCGGGCACGTGTGTGCGAACGTGGAGGTGTAAGGAAACTTTGGACAAACCCATCAGGGGATATTAGATCGGTTGGGGGTGGAGTTTGGAAGTTCGAATGAAATTTAGAGTTTGATGGTGTTTTGGATGGTAAATGGTGGGGGTTGATATTTTTGAGGGAATTTGTTAGTAAATATTATTATAATACTATGTATTATTATTATTATTATTAATATTATTATTAATATTATATATATATATAAACATAATATAACAATATAATAATATAAATCTAAATATAATTTAATAAAAAATGTAAATCTATAAAAATCTAAATCTATAAATATCTAAATATAAATATATAAATTAAAGTAAATAAAATAATAATATATAATATATAAGATTATAATATAAGAATATTATAATTATAATTGTAGTATTCTTACTATGTTTTTTGATTGTACATAAGAATATTATAATTATAATTGTATCATATTATAAGCTACAATATCATATTGTACATGATAAAATTATAATTTTATTTACATCTTTCAGTTTTATATAGTTTTATATAGTTTTATATAGTTTCATATGGTTTTATATAGTTTCATGTAGTTTTGTATAGTTTTGTATGGATATATATATATATATATATATAAATCAAAATAAATATAAGGTATATATATATAATATTCTGTTTTTGTTTAGAAAATGATTATTTGGGTTTGACACTTTGAACGAATCCTAGAAGTAGATATTAGACCAGTTGATGGAGGAAGAGGGTAGCGGAGTTTTAATTCCAGGGAGAATTTAATTCCCAAAGACAGAACAGCACGAAATTCTAAATTTCATTTCAAGTTTCAAACATTGGAGGTTAATACTTTGAAGGAAATTTATTATTAGATGTTAGATTATTTTCTTTAGAAAATGAGTATTCAAATCTGATACGTTGAACAAATTCTATAAGTTGACGTTAGCTCCATTTCTCTAGAATTAGATGGAGGACATTATCTTTGGAAATGAAATATTCGAGTCCGATACTGGGCACAAAATTTATTATTAGATGAAAGATGTTTTATCTTTGGAAATGAAATATCCAAGTCCGATACTGGGAACAAAATTTATTATTAGATACAAGATCTTATTTAGAAAGTAAACACTCAAGTTTGACGCTTTGAACTGAATCTATTATTAAAATCTGATAATTTAAACAAAACTTACTATTATATATTACATCTTTTTTTATTATTATTTATTATTAAGCTACACAAAATAAATATGTATTTCTAAAAGTTATACTATTATACTTTCCTTTCGTACCGCCAAAGTCTATTTATGTGAGCTTCTACGTGGAATGGATGCTACGCATGAATGCATGGTTACGTGTACTTATTTCGCCAATAATTCTTATCTCCTTAATTGCTTGTCCATCGTTTCCCTTCATTTCTCGTTTGCCAGTGAAACTGGAAGCTTTCTATCCAATTATTACTCTCATTAACTCGAACATCTTATAAATAGAAGAAACATAATTGGTAAATGCTGCTATCAATAAGTAAGTCATTTGATAATAAATAATAATTAGTCATTTAATAATAAATAATAATGTGTAATAAATGCTTCTTTTTTAATGGAATTACATAACTAACTCATATTCTTATGGAAAATTACTAACCAAGACCTAATTTTTAATAAATAATAACAACAACAATCACAAAAACAATTACAACAACAACAATCAAAGCAATAATCAAAACAACAACAATTGCAACAACAACAACAATGATGATAATAATAATAATAATAATAATAACAATAATTTTCATAGTTTCATGTTCAAGAGATTTAACCTAAATTTATATTAGTTCGTTTGAAATGTTTATTACATTATTTAAACAACTGGTTTTCTTTGTTAATTTCTTTGGGTAATTAGGTTATTGATGGAGTGCATAATTATCATTTGATAATTATCATTTCCATCAAATCATAATTTGAGAGAAAAGTTTCTTTTCGCATTCTTCAGTTTCAAAGATATTCCAAAAAATTTACTTCTACCCCTCAACATTGAGGGCTGTTTTCTCTCTATCAATGTAGATGATGGCTGATAAGGAAAAAAATACGTGTCAAGCATTCTTCCAAGAACCAGCTTCCTTGTGAATTTAATCGAGATCAACGTGTGCAGATTTTCTACGTTGCATTGTGGAATAAATTAAATAATGAAATTATTGTAACTAATAGATTAACAGTGAAATAATGAAATTGTTATAAATAGTGAAATATTTAAATTATTATAAAATATAACTGAAGAAATATAAAATATTTTACATAACAGAAAATCAAATACTAAAGTATTGAATAGGGCAAAGTAGTGGTGGCTGAATCAGTAGTATACTTGCTTTCCACCGAAATTACCCAGGTTCGATTCTCGATGATAGAATAATTGTTTAAGCAAATAAAATTAGTGATAAATAAAATAGAATAAAATTATTCAACAAATAAAATTAGTGATATATAAAAATAGAATAATTGTTCGACAAATAAAATTAGTGATAAATACAATAGAATAATTATTCAACAAAAGTTTAATAGTATTCACACACATATTGATATTTGCAAAAAAATAAAATTGTAGTTAGAAATTAGAAAATTAAATAACAGTTACAAATTACATAATAAAATAACAGTTAAAAATTAGAAAATAAAATAATAGTTACAAATTAGAGAATAAAATTATAATTAAAAATTAGAAAATAAAATAATAGTTGAAAGTCATAAAAATAAAATAATAGTTGAAAGTCATAAAAATAAAATAATAATTAAAAATTAGATATTAAAGAAATAGTTCGCAAAAATTGCAGAAAATATAAAATGTGAACTGAAAAAATAAAAAAATATTTTATACAACAGAAAAGCTGAGATATCTTCCGTCTTCAGTTTCTGTCGCGTCTCAGAGATTACGTCCCACTGTGCCAGAACGTCTAAATCGAACGGTTCTAGTTTGCAGAACGTTCAACCAGATCAATACTTATGTGGCGAGGATACATCGTCCCGTTTCGAAGATTGCTTTTACGACTAGCCATTTATTCGATTGCCCGTCCACAGCTGACTGTAGTAGTTAAGAAGATTTCTATTTTCAAGGGCCAGGATTGCTCGCGAGTAATTGTCCTCCAATTCCGACCACTCGCGCTTGTAACGGGACAGTTCTTACAATTGGTGTTAATCCGAAACAAAGCAATCGCGCGTGATGTTAACACGTTGATGGTCATTTTAAAATCGGTGAATGCTTTCAAAAACACACTTTTTTTTCTTAATTAGTTGGTTTTTGGGGAGTTCGATGAAGATTTCATACTTATGGATTACCTTCTCAAATGTGGTGCCATTGAATTGCTGAGATTCTGCTGATTGAAATGAGTCCATTTATTTATTTAAAACTATTCATCTATTTTTGACTATTTCAAATTTCAGCTTATAATTATTTTTTCAGCTTAATAATTTTTCTTCAACTGAATATTGTATTTTTAACGAATTTTATAATCATTATAATCAAACTTGAAAAACAATTATAATTAACATTTCAAACGGTGCATTTTGAATAGTATTAAATACTATTACTATTTAAAAATTAAATATCTCAGATATCCAATTAATTATAACATTAACAATTCGCTACTATTTATTTATTTAAAACTATTCATCTATTTTTGACTATCCTCCTGTGATGTCTCAATCGACACTTATATGCACCGGCAGCATGGAATGGGGCCACAGTGAATCGATTTGATAATGTTAGAGAGTTTATCGAGAAATTCCTCGCCGTGAATACTAGCCGGCTAAGCGGTCCACAATTTACCATTACCGTGATGTTCGTATTTTGCCGCCGGCGATTGGTCAGTCATTCCACCGAATAATATTAGTGAATGCAGGTTTCACGATATTTTAATGAAATTCAAAATTTCGTCCGAGGGGGAGGCACCTGGTACCAATAGTTGACCATTTTTCAGGAAGACCTGAAAAATAAGATTTTTCAAATTTGCCAGTATACTACTTCTTTTGTTAAAATAAAATTTTATATATACAATGAAATAAATACAATAAAATAAATTAAATAATAACTGAAAGTGATAACTGATGATATATAATATTATGTATATTATTAGATATCTCTTAAATATATATTGTTTATTATATTTATCAGATATTATTTTGTATATAATGTAATAATAATAACAACAATAACAATAATAACAGTAATGATAACAATGATAACAACAATAATAACAGTAATAATAACAATAATAATAACAATAACATTAATAATGATGATAATAATAATACTAATAATATATTAACTG